ACAACAACAAAAAAAAAACCAACCTGATGAACATTGCATGCAATGGAAAGTGATAAGCTGTTGGCCAGCTGCAACTAAGCAGAGCTAAACTAATATGACAATAATAAGAGAAACTCAGACATCACATCATGTAGTGAAAAGAGAACAGTAGGGTGAAGGACATTGAAAGACAATGAACAGGGTGGTGTAGTTCATCAAAGTTGCTGTTGGCTTGAAATTACCAAATAAATATATGATGTCAGCAAAACCAGGGAAAAAAATGTAATGGGTGGGTTTGTATATTTGGAGGCATATATAGAACAAGGAGCAATGGGGTTGTTTGGGAAGGGATCTCTGTAGGGCAGCCCTGACCTTCACTAGCTCAGTAGAACAGGACAATAGACCTGTTGTGACCGTACTGTGTGTATCTGACCTGCTTTGTGTTTTTCTTGCACCTAGGGCACTTTGTGTAACCTCAGTGAGGGGACATCATAGAGGCTGCAGAGGATGGTCCACACTTTCCTAAGAGTCATTGAACAACTTCTGCAGTCCTTACCTCATATGCTTAGAAAGAGAGGTGCGGATGATTACCTAGTTACACAGAACTACAGGCTGCTACTCAAATGAAATGTAGAATATGGAGCTCACACTATTGTTGTTTCTCTGCACAAAGTATTTATTCAGTTATGCCTGAATACAAAATATGCTTAGTAAAACAGCAGGGAATATGAAGCTGGGAGACATTGTGGGTTGGAAAGCAGTACTACAGTATAGGTGGAAAGCAAAGTGAGAAATGCTCAGAAAAATATGAATGAAAATTCAAGAAGAACAAATGAAAAGAACTACATATAGGAGGGAGTACCAATGACAGAAATGGGGGACAACAGTCAACTGGAGATAGTAGTTCATCTGAAAGTGATTGTGAGATTATATTTGATACCAAGCTCAATTGTAATTAACATATAATGATGCTACAAAATATCCCAATAAATACATTGGAGTTTTTGGAGTAAATGGCCAACAAAGTATGCAAAAGCCTCCTTCTGCTATAGGCAGCATAACTGAAGCTGTGGTTTAAGGGCCTTTTCCAGCTCTGGGCACATGCGTTTTCAGTAAAATACAGGGAAAATGTCCAGAGCAGAGAGATTCAGAAATTGTTCAGTTAACAGAACTAGAACTGGTTGGGGGTCTGGGAACCAAGCCGTGTGGAACTGTTAGCATAAAGAAGACAAGAGAAGACATGAAGGTTACCTTTTATAATAAGGGCTATAAAAAGGGCTAATATGACAAATAATAATAATGAAAAAATGCACTAGAACTGAAGGTATTGAAAAGGAATCCCATAAACTGTTTTTACACACAGCAGCTGTGTTTGGTCTCTTTAGCTCTATTTTAATTTCTGACCAGTAGCTTCAAATCTATCAGTGCAAGATTCTTGTTCTTTCAGCTATTCTTTAAAATTCTCTTTCAAGTCTAGGCACCAGCATTTTCTTCTGTTCTCCCCTCTTTCCACATATTTCTGTATCAGACACGTTGTATTTGTTCAGCAAGACAGCTAAAGTCACTGCTTTTAAAGCTTGTACTATGCATTACACTCTCACACTTGACTGTCATTTTAAATAAAACTTTGTTCTTCACATACTCAGAGACGATGAAAGGGACAATTTGGCTGCAAAACTACACAGTTTGGAATCAGATGGAGAGCTCCATGTCTGAGTTTCAATTTACCTTCATCCACCATCTTTTGGGGGTTTCTGGGTCTAGCTGTAATCCGAGCAGCTCATTTTGACAGATTTAGAATGTTTCATACAGTAATTGGAATTTCACTGCTTTAATGTCTTCATTCAAACAGTGTCTCTGATCATGGCACTGGAAAGGAAGTCTTATGCTATACATAGCTTTATGTGAAAAAAGGAGGTTTATATGATTATGGTAATAGTTCATAAAATCTAGCAGACAAAGAATAATTTAGAATTCATTTATTCATAACAGCAGAAGTTAATATTCTTCTTGCCTACAAAAGAGCTTCAGACATTATTAATCTTTTCTCCCAGATTTCTACTATTCTGCAGAACTAGTTTCGTTTGCTTCGATGTTACAGATGCCTTAACTTTTTTTTTTTTTGTACTTTTTAGTCTCTTCAAAATACTGTTTTTCCTTAAATAAATAATGCTGATTCCATTAAGATGGTATCAAAGTTGTCTTCCAATTTTCCTGCAGATTTATGTAGGAATTTGAATAGAACACTGCATTCTGCTCTCTGTTCTGCACCTAATCATTTTATTGGTATAGAATAAATCACTTCCCTACAACGGAGGATTTAAGCAATTTAGCATATCCCTTCATAATCTGAGAATTTCTTTTTAATGGTCTATCTGCTTGGGGAACAGGGGAATAGTGTGTGTGTGTCTGTTTCTGTATGTTATTCGTATTATTTTATTAAAACACCATTTTTTTCTTTTTCTTTTTTTCTCATCCTTTTATTTTTCCTCTTTTTTTTTTTTTTTTTTTTTTTCCTTCTGGTGATTCTCCTCTATTTCTTCATCTCTGGCCAATCTACGATACTTCAAACCTCCCCAAATGCAATTTTAAGCTGAGCTCATAGCAGGCTGGCAGCAGCCTCAAATACTTAACTAGTTACTTGGGACCATTTCTGTACTCCCTTGGCCTGACTTTGTCGAAACCCTTCCAACTGAAAGCAGAAAAAATTTGGCATGCAGCCACAAGAGAACTGAAAAGCAAAGACCATAGGCACAATGTCAGATTAATCTCTGTGTTAACTTCACTGGAGCACTATGTCTGGAACATATTAATACAATTTTGCTGTGTGATCTGTCAGTTGCATGCTATCATTCTAAAGAGTGGCTCTTTAAAACCTTGTCCTCCAGGTTAAATGAATTTAACAATAGTGAACTGGGATCATAGGAGATGTTTGTCCTTAGAGGTGTCTGTGGTGGAAATCTGCAGCTTTTGGTGCTTGGTCCAATGCTTTTTCGCATTTTTATCGGTGAACTGAAAATACAGGTAAAATTTCTGTTGATAAAATTTGTTGATGACAAAAGGAACTGAGATTCTTCTGGGGAAATATAAGTATAGAGAAGTCAGGCAGAAAATTTCACAACGGCAATCTGGCCATTTGCCTTTTTGCTAATGAGGTGTATTGATAACAGGAATCTCTGGCTGTGTGTGCACGCATATGATATTTTTTATTGTTTTCCCTCAGGAACTGGAACTCAAGGTTAGAGGTAACAAACTTCTTTCACATATATTATTATATAGTATATACAAGTATATTGTTATGACATATGTTAAAATTTGGTGATCTGTGGCGAGCTTTGTGTTCACTTATTCTGCCTACAAAGTGCATATCTGGAGAGGGCTTTGTCCTTTTGCTCAGATAGGAGTTGGAAGAGACCACCTGTTCAACCCTTGAAGACTCTCAGGTATGTGCCCCACCTTCCATGGCAATCTTTGCAGCTTTGGACACTTGTCTAGTCTGAGCTGTTTTTGTTTATGGTTTTGTTGAGCTCATGACTAGGGAGCAATGCCCTAGTAACTTTAAGGGAAGTGACCTTCTGGTTCATTCATTGTCACATTCAGACTAGGAGGAGGAGAAACAAAAAAGCTGTCATCATCACAGCTGAACTGTAATAATTTTGAGTTATAGGGGAAAAAAAGAGGTGAATTCCTGACCTCAGAATTTATGGATGTTTGGCAATTCACTCTAACAAAATATTGCCTTCATTCTGAGGCTGTCAGCTTTACCTAGTCACCTTAGAGAAGGTTTACATTGCTCAGTTAAAATATATATGTGTATATATGTATATATTTAATGCAATTAAAAGGAAAAAAAAAGTTCGTTTCCAAATACATGTTTTGCTATAGAAAAGTCTTTCCAGAATGTAAGAAAAATCCCCACCAACAACATGCACATCTATCCCCTGCCTCCCTGTGGTGATATCTCCTGCCTCATTTCTTTTGTGCTTTCCTTGCACTGGCAGCACTACTGGCATTCCTGCTCAGGCAGCCCCCAAACAGGCCACCTTCAACAAGAAAAAATAAGGCAATTCCTATAGATGATTGGCATTTGCCTAAAAGGCAGAAACAGCCTCCAATGGTTTGGCTGGGGATTATAATGGCATCCTCACTCCCCATTCCCATCTCATTAGCATCTTGTGGCACTTCAAAACCAGCCAGAGGTATGGCTCTGGTGCTACCCTGGTAGGGTGGGATGCCTATATCCCACCCCTGGCAGCAGCAAAGGGTGGCATTGGGTGTTTTTTGTTTGTTTGTTTTTGCTATTTCAGTCTTGCCTGGATCCCCACTGCTAGCAGTGCCCTTTGCACAAAACCTGCCAAGGGGCAAATGAGTTTTCTTCATTAACAGCATAATTGATGAGGAATTATGGACAGCTCAGCAGGAAGAGCAAAGGCCATGAAGATGAGCAAAAGCACTGCATGCACAGCAGTAACCGCAAGGTTTTCCTCCTGGAAGAGGCAGACCTTCACCAAGCGGTGTACTGTGACAGGCAGCAAGACCAGAAATACATTCCTGGTAATTTGCAGCAATAAAAAAATATTTCTGAAATAAGGTATATTTATACATGGTTCCATGTTGTCTTGAGCCTTACTGATGTCCTGGAAGTCCTAGTCTTTGTTTTCACCTCAGTTTTCTACTTTATTTTTTTGGCATAGAGTGAAAAAAGTGTTTCTCTAAGATTCTGCACATGTGGCGTGTATCATATCTTTCCCCTTTCCCCTCCTGCCCTGGCTTTTTGGAGTCATTGGTTTGCTGGTGACTGCCCGGGCTCATCCCCTAGCCAGGGCCTGATGCTGGTAGCAGATCATCTCCTCAGGGAAGCATGAACAAGGGCTCGCTGTGTTTACTGGTCATAGTGGTAGCCCCCTTCCCACTACAGGAAGAGTACACGTCCCAGTACAGATGATGTGTGACATGTATGCTGGCTGAAAACCATGCAGCATTTGCTTATTTTCCCAGGGGGCTGAAGGTCAGTGACCCCCATACCCGCCCCGCAGAACATGGCGTTGCCGCCTGGCCGCGGTGTTCTTGGTGAGGACTATGACACTGGTGCTGAGGTGGACAATCCGCAGGCGAGGCACAGGGCGTGCCTGCCACCTCCAGGGACACAACAGGGACAGTGCCACCACCAGTGCCGCCGCCAGCACCACCGCCAGCACCGCCGCCTCATACAGGTGAGCTGGGCCCAGGCCTCCACAGGGCCTCACCCAAGATTTACATTAAATAGCAGCCTGCAAGCCACTGTGAGACCCAGAGCCCTGGGTGAAGCTCAAGGCTTTAGGAGAGGCCAGGCATTTCAAGAGGATCCAAATCCATCTCACAAGCAGCAGGAGCTGCCTGCTCAAGTTGTAGCAGACTGATTTACAGGCTGCACAATGGCTTTTATTCTCTCAGAGATCCCTAATACCCAGTTGTGGTGGTCTAAGTTAATCAGTAGTAGAAAATTTACAGGGGTCAGGAGGAGGACAGCCTCATTCAGGGAGTTGTTCAGGGGATGAAGTGTGATTGGAAAGATGGGGACAGTTTGGTGACTACTCATAATGTCTGCAACATTTAGGCAATTATCTGGGGCCTGGAAGACAAAACTGGTACTTCTGTCATCAGATAACAGGCAAAGTATAAGTCAGTTTACAAATGCGGGCATTTGTTCTTGGGGCTGTCTAATTGAAACTGTGTTTCCAAAGGTTCAGAGGCTTTGGATGCCCCATTGCTTCACATGCAGAAGTCATTAACGTGCCCCAAAGCCCCACCTCCACCTCTCCTTTGCCTTCCCTTGGGTCCCAAACTGTCCCTGCCCGGATCCCACCCGTTCTGTGCTGATGCCCGTTGGGTTGCCATGGCAGTCCCATGGCACAGAGATGCCCCTGGCGGCGCCATTTTTACTGCAGAACACCAGGTACAGGTGGGATGTGAGTGCCAGTCGGGCAGCTGCAGGTGATCCTCAGCTCCCTCCCTGCTCCTTCCTCTTCTCCTTCCTTTTCTCCACAGCAGCAAGATGTCTGGGGTAGAAGACGCTTTCCATAAATTCGCAGTATATGGTGACACAGCTGCCAGCGGCAACGAGATGACCGGGAAAAACTTTTCCAAGATGTGCAAAGAGTGTGGGGTGATGGATGGAAAAGCTGTGACCAGCACTGACGTGGACATAGTATTCAACAAAGTCAAGTGAGTGTGGCAGCGGGGGTGTTGGGCAGCGCTGTTGGGTGGGCAGAGGAGATGGCATGAAGCAACCAGGCTCTCAGACAAGGGGCACCCTGGGGTTTTCCTACCCCATTGCCACCCACCTGCAAGGTAACTTTCCTCTTGGTCTCCCCTGGCTGTAGGACCAAGGGTGCCCGCACCATCACCTTTGCTGAGTTCCAGCAGGCCATGAAGGAGCTCTGTGGTAAGCGCTTCAAGGGCAAATCACCAGAGGAAGCACTGCAGGCTGTGTATGGCCTCATCGAGGGGAAGGAGCCGGGTAGTGCAGGCACCACGGTGAGTAGGAGCTTCCTTGCCCACTCTGCAACTGGAGCTACCATGGGATCACGCATCCCAAGGGCTATCCTTGCATGTATCCTTGCCTATTTGTGAGCTCACTCCTAATGCTGGCTGTCTCCTGCTGGTTTCCTTTTTTGCAGAAAGCCACCAAGGTTGGTGGGGTTGAGAGGCTGACGGACACTAGCAAATACACTGGCAGTCACAAGGAGCGCTTCGATGAGAGTGGCAAAGGGAAGGGTCTTGCTGGCCGCGTGAGGACCTGACTGACAACAGCGGCTACGTTGGTGCCTACAAGGGAGCAGGCACTTACGACAAGACACACTAGGCATGAAACTCTAGGAAAGCAAGGACTTTCTTCCCCTATTACTTGGGAGGAGAGGCAAATAAATCTCATGCAACTGGCTTTCTGTGTCTGTGCACATCAAATCTGACAGGGTGGGAATGCATGGGGTGGGCACTGGATGATGTTTGTGTGGGGGTGGTTCCCCATCCAGTGGTGCTTTGATTGCTGTGCAGCAGGGCTTGAAAGCACCTCAATCCAAGGACAAGATAACCTTCTGGAGAAAAGTCTACAGGCCAAATAGACCACTGCTATCACATGGCTTCTCATTTCTAATTAAGTGAACGGTAGGTTAGTCTTCAAATATTCACTCATTATTTTTATTATACCCTACCAACACACTTGTATTTTGTTGTTATTTTTGGCCTGGTGAGCAATGCATACTTATCTTTGTATTGCCTCACTGTGTTACATTATACGCTGGCAGTTTCTGGTGGCAGACAGCTCATCAGCAGTACCTTACCATACCTCAAAGAGTTCCACTTATGAGGCACAGGATGCAACAGTGCAACAGGTACTACCCTGGGAGGATGGTAGAGGTCCCAGTAACACCAGTAACACCAGTCCCTGCTTTTTGCTTTTCCCTATTCACCAGGTTAAACCCCCTCACATATTCCTAGCACATGCCTGGGTCACTCATCACTATTTCGCCTGGTTTCAGGGTGCTGGCAGCTGGGAAAGAGTTCATGACCTCAAGGAAGTGAATAAAGTGTGATGACTGACCATGGCCTCCTGTGCTGCCCATGCCCTTCCTGAGAGTTTTGAGGGGATGGGAGACCAGGAAGGGGGCAGGAGAGGTATCAAAGGAGAAGCTGAGGTGCTTTCCCGAAGTGTTTGTTCAATTGCTTGTCTTTATTTCTCAGTACCAGAACTGATCATTAAAACTTTACCTTAACTGGCAACAAATAAAATTCTGTGAAATTCAGGCTCGAGTTTTTTTTTTTTTTTTTTTTTTTTTTTTTTTTCAGCCACAACAGGATGAAATGCACAAACTAAGATGGAAAAAATAGCAATGAAATATATGTAAAAAATAAAGGCCATATGCCCACTTTTTAATTGGCTTTTTATAACTCAGATAAAACACATTCAAGGTGGCAGCAACACTGGCATAGTACACCATGTGCTGTACAACAGTTTAAGCAAGGTACATGTAGATTAACAGGTAGCAGGGCATTGTCCACAAAGAAAAGGTAATGCGCTTATGTAACAATGGAAGAACATTCTCACCTAGCTCTGCTTTTGGTGTTATACCGTTCCTTATTTTAATGCAGTCAGCAGGTAATTGCAACAAGTATTAATATTTCAGAGCTCTGATTGTTGTTCCTGACACTTTGTTATTCCTGAAGTGGCTCTACTCAACCATTGCTCTTGAGATGCTCTGGTGAAAACATGTCTGGGAATCTGCAGGCTGTTTGACAGTGCCCTGGGCCTGTGCCTGGACACAGCTCCTTAACTCCTTTCTCTGGAGGTCCCCTGCTCTTCCTAGGATGGAGGGCTGGTTGGTTTTCTCCCCAGAACATAGCTCTATATGGAGATTACAGCTGGTGTGCGTTATAGTGTTATCCAAGGTATGGGTCTGAGGTTTTCCCAGTACTTTCCACCCTACAGCCCCATCCCTTACAAAGGCTTATTGTGGGTTACCCATGGTGGGTAGTGGCCCCTTGGTGGCCAAGCAGAAAGGCATACCAGCTCCACCAGATAATGCAGTTTTCAAGCAAAAGATGTAGGCACCAGACATCTCACAGCTGTACCAATGTCCAGGCTTTGTGTGGTGTTTTGTGCCATTCTTTCTTGCCGCATTTTGAGCAGCTCAGGACCTTGTCATTTTGAAGGAAAAGAAGACAAGGACTGTCCTCAAGAACCTTGATTATTTATTTGTTAAGACCCCAGTTTCCTTAAATAATGAATCAAGGAATAGTCCATGTAAAGTTCTGCAAACAAATACAGGGATGTGTTGATGTGTTGTAATATTAGCTTCTTTTCTTCTTCTTTCTTCTTTTTTTCTCTCTCTATATATAGTTGGCACAGAAGAAGCTGTGGGAGCTTGGGGAACAGACTGAGAGCTTTGTACTTGTGTACTGTGAGTTCTGGTTTGCATTAGCTTGGGTACAGTGTGACACTGGAGGGTGAATTTCTGAGACATGATTCAATCTACTTCATCCTGTAATCTAACTTGTGTAGTACTCCAGCATCAACAAGAACCACTGCTTGTCCTGCCTATTCCTTATAAGTAGAAACCACAAAAAGATGAGGAATGCCATGCTCACTCCCTACAGCAGCTGTGGAGTGGACAGATGAAAAGGAAGTTGTGCTCGACTGAGGAGTTCAAAAATAGTACCTGATTACTACATGCCCTGGAGAGGCAGTAATAATAGTGGGTCTGAGATTTTAAAATAAAGACATGCATGTATCAATGGCAGCATCAAAAGCACATCTGCAAGCAGGACAGAACAAAACACAAAACCAAAACCAACACAAAAGAAACAAACAAACATATAGACATAAAGCAGTTTATGCTTTAGTACATTGGGAGCCTGCAAAAATTGAGAAGATTGCCCAGTGCAAGGTGGGGTGGAGGATTCCTCTTACACCACCACCATCTAATACAAAATCTCTGTATCTCTGTTTTCACAAATCTCTGTTTTCACAAATCTCTGTTTTCACAAAAAAAACATTTTGTGTTTACTCTCTTACAGAGGCCATGTTGCCTAGCAAACCAACCATGCCGGGAGAAAGAGGTTAGGAGCCTTCCCCATGGTGGCAGCAGGTGCGCATCACAACCCCTGTGAACATTAGGGGAAAGGCGAGGGTGCCTGCTGGCACTCCTGTTGAACGGAATGCATGTGTTTAAGCAGTAACGAGAACAACAAGGCGGTGGAAGCTGCCAGAAGAGCAGTGTAGCTCTACACATGCAAAGTGCTGGATTTGGGGGAAATACTGGGAACGCTGGAAAACTTGCTGAAATAGAACAATGCTGCTAATCTAGGAGATTATACCCAGCTATGGCTAAAATGTGTCATTACTGTGGAAAAAATGGAGAAAGATTGGCTCCAAATTATATGTGGGGGAAAGAAACATTGGACCAAGACATGCTGTCAATTTACAACCACTTTAACACAAAGGCAAAACCAACCAAACAAAAAACCACTAAATACTGTTATTTGGAAAGCTCAGCAGGTTTGTATCTGTGGTGTGTCTCTGGACATACCCCTCACCCCCAAGACTCCAGTCCTTCCATTCAATGCAGTTTTGTGGCTATCTTAATAGAAATTTGACTCAAGACCAACTTTAGTAGTTCTTTGCTAGCTGGTCATTGCTCCAGGGTACTGGAGCATGTTACCTGTTACACCAGTCAGGTAGAAATTGCTTGATAACATTGATGATATCTGCACACAAATTAGAACAAGATCTGAAGATATGTCTTTGTGACTGTGCTGCAAGAGCAGAGGCAGTAGGACAGGGAGTTATCTAACACTGGTAGGAAACAGATAAGAAACTACAGATACATGCATGCATGTAATGGTTTTAAAGCAACGTCTTCAAACTACTGAAGACCTCTGCTACCCCTTTTGCCACATGGACATGCAGTAACAGACTTGCTGTTGCTGAAACCAGCACAGTTTTATTTTACAAAGCAGGAATAAGAAAGAACAGGTAGCTTGTGTTAGTGCAGCCACTGGCTGGTGGATGAAGAGTTAAGATGGAGAGTTAATGATCTATGTATCTTTATACTGATCTGATCATCAAGGTAATATTTAAATTCAGAGTTATGAATTTTAATTGAAAACAATGTAATGCTTTCCCTGTCTCCCTCATTTCCTCTGCTTTTTTGGTTCTGCACATCTCCAGGCTAGGGAAGCAGTGGTCAGATTTGGTGAAGAGTTAATTATATGCCAAGAAAGCCAGTGTGTATGTGCCTCAATTAACATGAAAGGGGAAGGGGAAGGGGAAGGGGAAGGGGAAGGGGAAGGGGAAGGGGAAGGGGAAGGGAAGGGAAAAAGGGAAGGAAGGGAAGGGGAAGGGAAGGGAAGGGGAAGGGAAGGGAAGGGAAAAAGGGAAGGAAGGCAAGGCAAGCAAGGCAAGGCAAGGCAAGCAAGGCAAGGCAAGGCAAGGGAAAGGCAAGGAAAGGCAAGGAAAGGCAAGGAAAGGCAAGGAAAGGCAAGGAAAGGAAAGGAAAGGAAAGGAAAGGAAAGGAAAGGAAAGGAAAGGAAAGGAAAGGAAAGGAAAGGAAAGGAAAGGAAAGGAAGGAAAGGAAAGGAAAGGAAAGGAAAGGAAAGGAAAGGAAAGGAAAGGAAAGGAAAGGAAAAAGACATTTGGAGGTCATTGCACAGTACCAGTTTGTCTTCTCAGAGCTCTAGAGTTGGACAACTCTCGCTTTCAGTTGGGGTTGCAGTATGTCACTCTGTTGTTTCACTGGAGTTCATGGTGAATTAAAAACCCACAGGAAGATGTACATGCCATAAGCTTGTGTCTTTTTTTTTTCCAGCAGTATTATCTAATCTACTGGGAGAATTTTTCTTTCCCTACACACTCTTCCTTTTTGATCATTGCTCATGCCCCACCTTTATTCCTCCCCTCCTTTTCCAGCTCCAAAGCCAGCTGAAACCCCTGGGACAGCTTCACAGGTTGTCTGGGTGCCCTGTAAGGGTGTTTGAGTCTCAGCCCCCAGCTGCCTGCAGCTGCAGCAGGAGGCACTTGCCTGTTGAGCTTTACCCATCAGCAAGCACAAACACCCCCTGACACCACTGGGCCCACAGGCTGCCCCAGCAGAGAGCTGGGGACCAAACACGGTTGTGCTATAGCCTTGCATCACACCATGCCAGGCAGTGCTGGGACAGCTCTGGGAAATGGGTAATACAGAGTATCTTCATACTCTGTATTAATTATTATGTGGCTCTTTTCCCTCCAAGTCTGGGATCATTTTACCTCTGTTGTTGTTTTTCTTCACTGTGATTGTAAGGAACCATATGGTACTTTAAAAAATAATATATGTGTATATATATACATGTATATATATATACACACACTATATATAGTATATATAATATATATACTATATAATATATATACAGTGTATATCTATATATATATACCATATATAATATAGATATATAATATACTATATATAATATAGTATATATTATATATATACAATATATATTTATATGTTTATATATGTGTGTGTATATATATATATGTATATACTCTTCTGCATTACTTAAAGGCTGTTTGTACTCACTAAACTTAAAGCTAGTAGTTATAATTGCTGACTGTGTGTCCTGTATTCAGCATAGCCTTTTTCTTCTCTCTCTCTCTCAAAAGTGCAATATCCTTGTGCAGGTTTAGATGCACCCACCCACGTTGGGTGCGTTTCATTCCTTGTCTCTCAGCCAGATGCCACCCTCACTCTGTTCTGTGCAGATGTGGGATATAATCTGTATCGTGCTACCTGGAATTTCCCACTTTTGGTATCAGAGACAAAGGGTCACACGGAGTTTCAGAAGACTTTGCTAATCACCCACAACTAACCATTTATGATATAAATAGTTCATGAACTGTACTCATGTGCAGTACACTCACAGCAAGTGAGTACATTTCACAGCAAGCAGTGAACAGATTAGCGAGTTCCTCTGTGCTGCACAGACTCAGCAAGAACCAGGACGGGATGGAGACCGCCAGAAACGCTCGGACAAGTGCATCAGTCTAAAAGCGTTCAAGTATTGCCACCTTCTGGCAGGGCCATGTCATTGAGCTGCTTAACCACAAAACCAAGCCTCCAGGCCGTTCTCAGATGCTCACTTTATTGAACCTGCAGTTCTGACTGCAATCATTCCAGAAATAAAATGTATGGATATTTTTCATCCTCTGCTTAAATTTTCCGGTTTTTCACAGCGTTTGAATTAGGTGGAGATTGGTGCAGGGTTTTTTATGCAGTTTGGGTTGGTCTGTATGGAAAAAGGTGGATGAACTCCCATTCTCAAAAATAAACATGCATTTGTAGTTTTGAGCCCTAAATTACAAAGCTGTAAACACGGTGTATTTTCCTTCTAAGAAAAGCTGGTTTTACATGTTCTCACCTGCTTCTTCCTCTGCATGTCACTCACACCAGCTCCCCTGCCTCCATGCTGAGGTTTACTACCCCTTAAGCTCTGCTGTGACAATTACTTGTGTGGCTATATTGCCGAATGACATTTCTGTTATGAATCAATCTAAAATTAATACAATATTAATAATAATCAAATCTACACACACACACAAAGACAAAGGCCTCTTCATACCAGTGGCTGTTTATAGCACATTCCTACAAATGGGAAGCTGGAAGTACCTGCTTGAGGAGTTGTCTGCCTTTGTTATTATTCAGTCTCAAATTCAGTCACATCCAGCTTTTGCTTTCCTGGAGACTTGTCCTTGCAGCAAAAGCTAAATGAAAAAGTTAAGATCTCTCTGTTATTTCAGAATATCTAAAAGAGTGACCTGCACGTTTAAGGGAGGCTCTGTGCAGACTAATGTGACTTTAAACCCTGCACAGCTGATACCTGTAACGCAGAAATTCTTGGATAGCTTATGTGACGCACTGGCTCCCAGCACCTCTAACTTCCTAGATGCCGCACAGTGTCACTGAAATACAGTATCTTGGGAAGGCTTAGGTGTAATAACAACATACATATTTTGAGGGATTTTCCTGCTAGTCCTGAATAATCCCAAAAGCAGCCTCAGGCCTTAGTGGGTTTATCTGTCCTGTCAGGTACCATTCAGTGTCAATAAGGGCATCTCAGTTTTCTACAACAACCACAGTAATTCAGTAAACACACAAGCTCTGCACATCATCAGCATTTTTCAGAAAGCATTTTAAATCTGAAGGATTCTTGTTAAAACAGCAGATTTTCTAAAACAATGTCTTTAATCTCAGTTTAAAAATCTAATCCAGTTATTTCAAAATACTTCATATCCTTATTGTAAACTTTTATTACAGAACAGTGAAACTAAAAACAATCAAGCAACACCAAAAGAGACATTCACTCAGAAGAGAGGGGAAGAACTATTCCTCCAGTTTTCTAATACTAGGTAAAATTTTAAAAAACATATATACATATATATTTCAGGGAAATAGAGTGCTGTCACTCACTGGCTGTGCAATTGTTTTGATTTGTGCAATTGATTTATGACTGATATCCCCATGAACGTACCAATTGCACATGTAAAGCTGACAGTTTCTCTGCAATAGGGATAATGCTAATAAACAACTATATATAACTACGGGCAACATCTACTCAAGCTGTTCATGTTGAAAAACTGTTTTCTAAAAGTAATAATAAAAAAATTATCTTGGATATAAGTCACGTTTGACTCACATTTGAAACATGGCCTATTGCACTCAGTATCTTGCAGTAGCATGTGCTTTCTGAAGTGTCTAGCACTGGATTCTGCAAAACAAAACTACCAAAAAAAAACTAGGCTTTTTTTTTTTTTTTTTTTTAAATAGACCATAAAATGAGTATAAAGAAACAAACAGTTTTACAGTAAATCCCACATTTTTATAGTCATATTTTATGCAAATTATTTCATGCTTTCTCATTGTAATTGCTCACACAATTTCTTTCCTAGAGAAAAAATATCACTGCATCTCTAAGAATACCCTGTTCAAACAACTAAAAACATATGCTCTAAACAGCTGTATTCAACAAGTATACCTAACTCTAAATCTTATTTTTCATATTCTTCTAAAATCTCTATATCTAGCAGAATCCTGAGATACATGTAAGTGCCTGTAATGTGCCTGCTTGTGGGGAACACACAAGCAGAAATTTTGATTTCTAGTATATTTAAAATGAGATTGGACAAAAAACACATAAAGGTAAAAAATGGGAATAGAAATTTGTTACATAATTTGTAATTATCATTGCTATACTTACACAGTACTTGAAACCCTGCTTGGGCCATTACAAAAAAAAAAAAAAAGGTAAAACAAACACCTTTTCCTGAGATGCTCACTAGCATTAGTAACAGGATAAATAGTAACATTTAGGAGAGGATGAAAGAAAAATGGATATCTTTAAGCATATTTTAAAATATTTTATCTGGGACTGAAACTTAGTTTCAGAGGTTATAAGCTGTGGTAAATTCTCACAAATGCTTTTCAAGAAAGGCTTGAAAAAAAGAAATGGTTGCCACTCAACAAAACATAAGAAGCTTTGGTATATCCAAAGAGGAACATGGAATGTCTAGAGAAGGCTCAGACCACACAAAGGAAAAAGTTGCTGCTCCTTCACCTTTCAGTGCACAGCTGCCTTTTCAGGAACCACACTTACGGACTTCAGGCTAAAACCCAGAGTCATTGTCTAAGGTGCTGATACACTTTGTCCAAAGGTGAGAGCAAGTCCCTGAGTTCCCAGGTTCCACCAAGAAAAAAATAACACCCTGATGGACAGCTGGGCTTCCACATGAGGTGAGAAAAGAGAGGAGTTGTGTACACTTAAAAGTTAAGAGCTGATGATTCCTCTTTACACATTAGAAATTCTCATCTCCCGGTTTCTTGCTGCTTACCTTACTACTGAGAACAGACTTTGGTTATAAAGCAGCTTGGGGGTAAAATCAAGCACACTGTCAGTCAAAATGACTGACACTTTCACAGCGGATTTCCTTCACTGTGAGAAGTGTTTATGCTATTCTTCCTTAGGTAGGGGGAAAGCTGTAACAATACTTGTCCATTTAAGAGCTAAGAAAATTATTTACAAGAATTTAAATCCCCATCTGAACTCAAATACAATACAGGAAGAGGGATGAAAGACTTTAAATACTTATACATGACAAAAATGTAAAGCATATAAAGCTGTAAAAAAATTATGGAAGGTAGCAAAAGTCTAAGCATCTGCACTTACATTTGTGCTGCTCACTTTGTGTTCCCAATGTTTTCAACTTTATTTAGGAGCTTGCTATTCTGCAAGCAAGAAAGAAAAGGCAAACCTACACACAGGGCTTAGCTCTGAGCTTTATATGGTAAAAGTGGAAGTACAAAAATCCAAGTCATTTGGTTTCGGAAACTGAACTGCTTCTTAGAAGACGTTTGCTGAAGACAAGGCAGCTGCTGTTCTTCATGTTGTTAGTGGGAAATGTCGTAATAGTAGTTACGTAATCTCAGCTCAACTGCAACGAATCCTGGTCGGTCATCAACACTGTGGAAAGATGACAAATATCACTGCAAAGGAAGGAGATAGCTGAAAAGGTACATTGGCCGTGCAACACCTTGGACTTCTCAGTGACAGATCCTATAAGCTGCTCACAGTATTTTAAGGCTACCAAAATGTTGCTACCAAACGATAACCAAATGGCAAATGGCAATACATAGTGAATTGTCATGACTGCTACTTTCTGTTGATGAAGGTATTACAAGAAATATATAGTAAATCGGCTCCATTTAATTTTGTACTTTGTTTACTTCAATAGTAAGACGAAAAGAAAATTTACAGGGTATTATCTGCTTCATAACAGGTACTACAGTCATACAGAGCAGCTTAGCACCATTGAGAAAAGCCTAGGCATAAAATACATGGCCATACTGTTTTCATTTCCTCTTTATCTGAACCTCTGCTGATTTGGGAGAATATAATAAAAATAACAAGACATGAGAATTATACTTTACGTATTGAGTTACACTGCATGACCTTAGCATTCTTATTATTGATTTTCTTTTCTTTTCCTTTCCAGTGTTAAAGATATTTGAGTACAAACAAATAAAACCCAATACCCTTGAAAATATGCTTACTAATCACAACGAAAATGATACTGATTTACTCTAAAACTGCCGCAGCATTGTTTGAGACAAACAAAAAGGCATAAATTATTTTATGGCTCCATGTTCTTTCTAGAGTACCAGGTATAATAAAACTACCAAAGAACAAGGTACCTAAAGGTGAAGTACCACACCTCCTGAAATGGAACCCAGAGACCTTTGCTGAAAATATTCTCCACATATTCTCCAGATGGTGAATTGGAAAAGTAAGTAACAATGGACTTTGGATGCTTTTTGGAACCCTTCCTACAGCTAAAGGTACTTTCAACAAAATAGTTTAAAATGAAAATTGTAAAACATTTGAAATGAAATTTTGCAATATACTGATTTTAAAAAAAAGGAAAAAAAAAAGTATTAGATGGGCTTTCTCCTTCCTTCCTTCCTTCCTTCCTTCCTTCCTTCCTTCCTTCCTTCCTTCCTTCCTTCCTTCCTTCTTTCTTTCCTCCCTTCCTTCCTCTCTTTCTCTCTTTCTCTTTTCTCTCTTTCTCTCTTTTTTCTCTCTTTCTCTTTCTTTCTCTCTTTCTCTCTTTCTCTCTCTCTTCTCTCTTCTCTTCTTTCTTTCTTTCTTTCTTTCTTTCTTTCTTTCTTTTCTTTCTTTCTTTCTTTCTCTCTCTTCTCTTTCTTTCTTTCTTTCTTTCTCTTCTTTCTTCTCTTCTTCCTTCTGTCCTTCCTTTCTTCCTTCCTTCCTTGTTGTTTTTTTCCCTCTTATCTATATTTCATAATTCTAACTTTTGAAATGTTGCTGGTCAGAAAAAATGTTTCCTAAACATCAGGTACAACTTGTAAAGATGTTTGCCTTTCACTAGCAGGAAGTCAATGTGGTATCAAAATTGAAGATATTTAGAAATGAGACAAGAAAAAGTCAAAACAATTAAGAACTGAGGAATAGAGGAATAATTTGATAACATGATTGAATTTTTGTAGTTTTGGAAATCAAATTGAAACAAAATACAAGCCAGAATGAAACAAAAATGTTTCCTTAATTTCAAATTTTCTTTTGAAAATACACCAGACTGACATTCTGGTGAAATAATTATTTCTGATTATTATTATTATTTATTTTATAATAATTCCAGCAATAAATAGATCACCTGTGCAAAATCAGGTTCTTGTACATTTGATAACTCACATCATTTTTGTTTGAAAGTGTAACTGACTCCTTCCTTTGCATGTTGTTTGCAAGCTAAATGCCAGCTGACATGATATGCTTTGAAATACTCTTATTTTATACTTTCTGGATGTCAACTATGCAGATTAAATTATACTGCTATTAAAGGAGAGAGCATCACATCATACTCACTTGTATGTCCAACACAATTTCATTAAGTTATAGACTTCTGTTGGACAAGCTTCTGGACGTTCCATTCGTTCTCCTCTTTCAATCATCTGTGCGACTTCACCACCTTTCATTCCCTGGAATAGAATTATAGAATTGTTAAGGTTGGAAAAGACCTCCTGGATTATCTGGTCCAACCAATACTACCAATACCAATACTACCAATGTCACCACTAAACCATGTCCCTAAGTACCATGTCCAACCTTTCCTTAAACACCCCCAGGGATGATGACTCCACCACCTCCCTGGACAACCCATTGCAATGCCTGACTGCTCTTTCTGAGACTACATTTCCCCTAATTTCCAACCTGAAGATGGTGTGCTAAGGCCTTCTTCAACCTGTAACTACAATTCCAGGTAGAATAAGAAAGGCGTTGGTTAAAATCTGCTCTGAATTTTTACAATAAAAGAACTGCCAGATAGAACTACTCACCTTATATGGTTTTTGCCCATAAGAGAATGCTTCCCACATTAAAACCCCAAAGCTCCAGACATCACTTTTGCTAGAAAACTTGTAGAAATTCATACATTCTGGAGCATACCACTTGACTGGCCACTTTCCATGACTTTGTGCCTAAAATAAGGAATAACAGAAAAGAAAAGAAAAAAGGCAGTCTAGAGACAGTAGTATGTAGTAAACAACACTGTAATTCCTATAAGCCAATTTAACTTAGATTTGCATACATTTGTACCAAGTATTTCTAATGTAGTGGCATTAGAAAAAATATGCAGAAGCTTCTTCAAAACTGTTACAAAATTGTTCTTAATCTTCCAGACTCAAATAACACACTGAAATGAATGCTAAGGTAAAGCTAAGCCCAGCTAAAGGACCTGGAGTTATGTTTTCCATGGCATTCAATTTTAAGCTCTTTCAAAGATTTTTCAAGTCTACTTTTTGCAGGAGATAAGAGGTATCTACTTAGCTACACTGAGTCTTCTTTTTAGTTTAAATCAGTATTTCATTTCAAAGCAGCTGCAAGCTGCAATTTGCTTAAATTATGCCATAACACTGTGTCACAACAATGCAGGTGTCAAACCATACCAGCACAATGCTAGATCTGGTAATATAATCATGCTGTATTTGTGAAGTTGTAAAAGGAATGGGCCTTTGATACCAGATCTCAAACCTCTGACAAGCTAGGCTAGTGGCAATGATTTAAGGTGCCACTGCCTTTTCTGGCAGCAGTTACTGTTCCCATAGGAAGGTCATCAGAAGGCAGTATGTGCTTGCTCCTTCTCTGCAGTGTTTCATAGTCTGCCTTACTGTTTTTAAGCAACTGTTGAAAGGAAATAGGCAGAAAGAATAAATAATTTTAACTTTAAGAGCAACATATCAGCAAAGATATAGACAGGATTAGAACATTTGTCTCCCAATGATGTTTTTACCTCATTAAACGTGGTAGTTATTTAAGTCTCTTAGCTGTACAAAGATCCATATAAGTTAAAACTAATCTGAACAAACTTTTCCTAGATCAATGATTGCTTACCAACTGTACTCCTCCAACAAAATCCCGCAATACAATTGTGTTAGTCACACAGTGTGCTAGCCTGTATTTTGGTGAAAACCAAAAATGGTGAAAACCACGTACTAAATTCTTACCTGCAACAAAGACTTTTTCCCCCTTTTATGGCAGAAAATGTCTAATTTCTACAGAAAATTTCTACCTCTAATGACAAATTTACTGATCGTAAATAAAAGAAGCAACTAAGTAAGGGATTATCTTTTCCCTCCCTATTTCTTAACGATCGCTAATTTAAAAAATCCATGACCCACTAGCAGACTATGAAACAATAGATGACACTTAGCATTTCTTATTTTCAACTCTCAGAAACAACAGTACTTAATCTGAAAACAATCTCATTAAGATGTGTTAATACACAGCTTTGGTGTCTTGTGTAAACCTTACCTTGTAATAATTTTCATCAGCGCTAAGAGCCTTGGAAAGTCCAAAGTCACTGATTTTGGCATAATGTTGGGTGACTAATAGCACGTTCCTTGCAGCCAGATCCCTATGCACAAAGTTATTCTCCTCCAGGTATTTCATCCCCATGGAAACCTGATGTACCAGCTCTGTTATTTCTTTTCCGTGACATGTCTGGAAATCATAATTGAATCTTTAAGAGTTCATTTTCATGATTTTTCAAGTTCAATTACAAATTCTCCGTATGAACTGCCTCGCATCATACTAGGAATGTGATCCATTTGTGTTTAGCTAAGCTTTAATTAGAACAGGTAGCATAAGAATGTCCTGAACAAGACAATATGTGAACATATCAACAAATGAGCAATTGAAGAAAGTCTGAAAATTCTTTAATTTATGCAGAATGCACTATTTTACCAGAAAGGTTTGACAGTCTGGAGACATCTGCAAGATAATTATGTCTAGGTGAAGAGTAACTACAGTAACTAATTATTAGATAAACATGGTTTCAATGTAAAATGTCCCTGAATTTAAAGACAAAAAAAAAGACCTGACTGTTTTTCCCCTTTTGGATAAATGCTATGAAAAGGAATCAAAGTTTACATACCTATTTTTTTGCAAAAATTTGTTCAGTGGCCCAAGTTCAGCCATTTCCATTACTAACATCCAGGCCTCAGCTTCACATATGCCTATCATTCGGACAATATATGGGTTATCCAGTTGCTGCATTACATTTGCTTCTCTCAGTAATTCATCCTTTACAGCTGGATCATTACTCTCATTCTTAAGAATTTTTACAGCCACTGGCTTGGCACCCCTACAAAGAAGAATCCAACTCTGGGATTAGTTGATGAAAAATGTACATAATCTTCAACTGATGCTTCTCTGTACATAGTACAAAATGTGACAAAAGACAGAATTGAACATTAAGACAGAAAAGAAACTGATTGTAATGGGAATAACTCTCTATCAAATGCTCAGAGGACAGCTAAGCAAAAGAAAGAGAATAGAAAGAAAATTAAAAGTAGTTACAAAAGGTCTAAACAAGCTTTGAAATAAATGTACCTTACAATATTATCTTGTCCATTCTGGCTAGCCTCAACTAATAAAGAGACCAGGAAATAGTGGAAAGATTTACTAAAGAGCTCCCAGAAGAAAAACTATAAGGGCCTTTCTCAGCACTGAGGTGTTTTGGGGAGACTAGAACATGCAGCATTGCAAAGCCCCAAGGCAGTGCTCTGACCTACAGAGAAACTAAGCCTGCTCCTGCAACCTACAGCTCATACAAGTGAAAAAGTCACTGATGAGATGGCAGAGCTCAAATGTGAACAAATGCCGTGAAACAAGATTAGCAAATACACAAGCTGGCACCAGAGCCCTTCAAATCCCCTCAGACTGCACTGGAAAATGAAAAATCCTCCTTGGCTCTGAAAATCTCAGTAAAAGAAATGCCTCTGGTTCTGAATGGTGAAAGTGTATACATAATCAGTCCATGCACTTAAACAACATACTGATAACATTTTATTATGAAAATGCATAAACAGTCAGGTGCTCCCACTTCTGCCAGTTTAAACAGGGTCTGTTCCTACTGAAATTGCATGATAAGGGAGGCCACAACATTTTCTGTCTACTTGAAAATCAACACTGCAGCTTCATGAAACAGGTATTTAGAATAATTAGTTTAGGTGAAAATCCATTTGTTCCAGGTAAACTGTGCATGACAGTCTACACAATTTCTCTCAGAAAGACTGCAGTTGTGAAAGAAAAGAATAAGGGGAATGACTGCCCATACATTGTGCGGTGAAAAGGCATGGGACTTCTCACTCTATTTTATCCTGGACAGGAGAGTAAATAGTAATAATGGTCATTTGCCCACTTCACAGACACAAATAAGAGCTAGGAGGTGACTATGTTGCAGCCAAGAGATGTTTGCAAGCTGAAGAAAGTGAGTGCACATGCTTCCATATACAAAGAAGAAACAGTGAATTTTAGGCCAAATTACTTGGGTACAATCTGTCAAGCCAAATGACAAGGTAAGATTACTTCTGCTCAGATAGGCGATAAAGCTTTATGTATTAAACTTTATGAAAACAGAAATAAATACTTACTTTTTCATCTTATAGAACCCTTTCTTTACAGTACCAAAATTGCCAGAGCCAAGTTCTCCTTCCTCCAGGGTTAACAATTTCCTGTCAAGAGTGACATTTTTTGGTTTCATTTCATCTGGATCAGCGTATGGACTTTCATAGACCTCAGTGTCCATGGGTAAAGCCTCTCTCTGATCACCTGCAGTTCAGTGAATAAACATATCAGAGATTACATGAGACTGTTTTGCTGCCACAGTTTTATATTAACCACATTCTTGTTCAGGATTATCAGCTGCATCTTTGGGCTTGATTTATGAGTGCATTATAACAAAACCACATGCAGTCCAGCCACAGGCACTTTAGAACATCCCAAATTAGAGTGACCTCTACCTGGTGACATGTGCTAGCTGTTGAATAACTGCATAATGTTACTGCCAGGAGGATCCTCGACAGGAGAAGGGTTAAAGATGTGCCTTTCATCTTAGTGCTTTCCATTAGTGCTCAGACAATTCTTCACTCAGAATGCAATATTTAATTACATTTCACAGAAAGCCTTGGCAACAGCTTGGCACTGTGGATTCAGTGGGGCACAATGCTTTCTATGAAGTGTAAGGATGCAGCTTTTAGAGTCAAAGAGATAATAATCCTCCACTTCAACATGCAAAAAAGGGATTACTGTTAAATCACTTCTATTACAGACGCTGATGTCTGGCAGTCTCAGCTACCAGACTTGAGCTATGATAGTAGTAAAACAATACATGACATGGTGTGAAATATAAGTTAGAAAAAAGAAATGTGGGTAGAGGGAAGACCTCTCACATAAGGAAACAGATGTTATTCATAGCATAAATTACTCTGCTTACCTTTCTCTGCTCCCATAAGACCTCTTGTCCTTTGTAGCACATAAGGATTAAAAGCTGCTTGGTCATCAGATGGGGAGCCAATAGGTGGCTGAAGCTGTAGCACACAGATAGAATTATTAAGTTTAGCAATATATATGTAAGTTAAAATCATTTTTTCCAGAGGATTACGGCATAATGATTGCAAGAGACACATAGGTAAGAATCAGAGAGTAAGAAAAGGATCAAACGAAGCTTATTCATTCTGGAGGCTATTGCTAGAGTATATATGCAGGCCAAATTACACATAAACTGCTAAAGCATAAAAAGTTACTGCAAATATTTCAGAACATTTGATCTGAGAGAATTAACTGGAATGGGTCATGCACAAATCTTACCCTGCAGATATTAAATTTTCATGCTGTCTTCAAATCTGCTATGTAACATTGCAAATCCTAAGGATTTCCCTATAATTTGTCCTTCCTCCCCCTCCAAGCTCTTTCTCACTATACCTTGGCCATAGAGAAGTTCCTAGTACTAATGAAAACAAACAAACAAAAACCCTACCCTGTTTTTCTTGTGGATGTTGTAGAGTGTCTCAACTTGGAAGAAACAAGGGTAAAAAAGAAATAATTTTAATAGGCTCAAATGATTGAACATCGTGGACCAGATACTCTGGGCAAGCCTGTCTGCTCTTTCTGGACTAAGGAGGGAGAAAATTACCAAATTTCTACTACATTTGAAAATCTGATTCAAATATTATTCCTCTGCCTTTGTTGCTTTTGTCAGAAGCATTTCATGGAGCACACAAATGAATCTGGAAAAACACTGTGCATTCTGGAGCTGCTTGGTTGAAGGATGAATCTCACAAAATAATCTATAGGTTAGTTAAATTTATAACCTGCTTTATGCTGTCTGTGATCAAGGAGACATTACTTTTAAGAACAGGGAATTACAAAAATTATTTCTGTAAATCAGTAATGTTTCTTTCTCAATGTTAAATTTTTACTCTAGTGATGAATGACTTCACTTTCCTAAGAGAGTGTTTCAAAACCAGAAATTCAAAGATCAACAGGAGTTTGCTCAGTTCTAGTAGGAAATAAAGATGCATTGTACTTGCAGAATACTGGATAAATCTATTTTGCAAATATTCAAGTATATCATTATTTTTAATAACTGAAGATTTCAGTGGTGTAAGTTTCTGCCTGAAACAGTTGTGGTTTGCAAGTAAGAAGAAACAGGGAAATGTCTAGGAGTTAATTGGCGTTTTATCACTTGGAAGCAGCTTTTTGACCCAGGATGTACAGTTTATTAAATCATAATGAAGTGATATGCCCGGGTGGATGAAGCAGAAGAGGTTTCTACACAAACTTCATAGCAAACCACAAATAGGAAACAAATGCTCAGCAAGATTCTCACCTAGCAGGATGAGTGTGGTGGCATCAGAGATGGTAAGAGATCTCTGACTTGAGTCATTCAGTCTTGTGGAACGGTGTTGAAAGGCCATTTGCTGTCAGGGTAATCCACATGAGTACTGACACAGCTGTGAGATAGGCCAGGGACAAAACTGACCAGCCAGCTTCAAGAATAAGGAGATGAATGATATAGAACAAGATCCATTCTTTCTCTTCAGTCCTGATTTTGTTTTCCTAACCAGGTAAACCTTGCCAGATCTACATGTTAAGACGTGCACATCCAAGGCCTAAATCACTCGATTTTATACACAGGACATATGCCTTGGTAAAAAAAATAAATCACTAAAAATAAATAAATAAATAAAAAAGAACTAAAATTGGAATTAAATCCTAAATTCAATCCTAAACCCCTCAAGCAATGGGCTGCTAGTTTTACTGTGAACACAGGATAGCTTTTCCCTACACTATCTCCAGATATATAAGGAAATACTTATGGTCTATCAATGCTATTTTTTTTCCAAAGAAAAGTCAAATCAGATGGAATTATAGTTACTGAGGACACACTGATTTTAGTTTGTGGATTTAATATATTCTCTATTGCTTCAGAACATGCCAAGACCCCTATTTTGTTTGTTTGTTTTTTAATCTTACTGATAATTACTATGACCCATTCCCTAACACCACTGAGAAGTGGCTCTAGTTCCACTGAGGGGTTTTCTAGATGTGTTCTTGCTTCCGCAGTTAAGTGTACATACAGGGAGATAATCTTACAGCCCAAAAGATAATTGGTAATGGGTAACTCACTGAATGGATACAAAGCAATATAGGCTGACATTAATACCTGTAGTGAGATAGATATATGTACAAAGGAAGCTGTTGCAAATTATTACATCGCATGGGTTTTATGGAAGCGTCCATTTAACACTTCTTGGCCAAGAAGTCCAAAACAAGAGAGTCAAAAAAGGAGAAAAATATGTTGACAAATTTGGAAAGGAGCTCAGATGTTGAATCTTCAGTGGCAGCTTCCAAGATACTGGAAGAAAAGTTCTCAGATACTTTGGAATGATACAATCACAGTCTCAAAATATACCTTTTGCATACTTCATCCTTAAAATAGTCTTTCTGACAGAAATGCAAAGTATTCAGTAAATGACATCTCCAAGACACCACATTGTTCTGGGACTCAGCTTTTTGAAAGCTTTAGTAGGACTTATCAATTGTTCTCTGTTCACTCTGAGAGTACCTTGACAATAAACCTAAAGTGTGATGTGAGTATCTGAACCCAAGCCTTGGAATGTCCCACATCATACCTCTCACTTAAAACACTGAAATCTTTCTGTTGTCACAATTATGTGAAGCACATCTGTAGCTCCAGGCTAATGAAATGAAACATGGTATCCCTGTTTTCTTTCTACAAATGGTCAAGTTCTTGCTAGAGTTTGTGTGATTGCTGTTACATGATGAGGAATATGAATTAAGCCCACATAGAGTACAATATCAGCAAATCTTTCTAGTTTTCACGTGAGTAAAAGGTTTGTGCACCAGTTGTTGTCACTGCAGCTGACGCTTAGGAGAAATGAGATACAAGTGCTTTAAAAAAGGCCTTTAAAGTAATAAACTCAGGTTTTCAAATGGACATGAACTTTGTGCTGGAAGAAGTGATTCTTGTTTAATATAGCAACATAACGCTGCAGGCAGAAATATAATGATGGTAATTCCGCTGCAATACCTTGTATAAATCTGATAAGTAAGATTTATGTGATTATTGCTGAACTACGGGGCAGAAACACTTAGAAGTTCAGTAGGCTCAGACAGTACTAGACAGCCCCTCAAACTTTAAAAACCTCAGAGGGCACATATTTTCATGTGGTTAGTATTACCTGGGCACTAGAGAAGTAGTTAAATATCCCTGAAAATAGGTCACAGGGTATGAACTGACATACTTTCCACCGGACAAACAAACTGATATACACTATATTCATATGTCTCACAAGAAGCTCTTCACCAGTCCAGAAAACCTGGAAAAATATACTTTTGACTATGACATAGCTGACTCTTTATGTGAGAGGTAGACAGACATTTCCTTTCCTTTATAGTTCAAGAACAAAACAAAAGAATCAGAAAGGACTGGGTCACCTTGTTTAGAAACTGCATTAAAAAGGAGTGTTTTACTCCTATTCTTGTGAATTAATCTCTGTAGATGACACAGTAACACCAAATCTAACAAAGTTTTGAGTGGATTCTTTCTCAGAAAGATTCTCATGTGAAGATGAGTGATAATGTCTTACATATCATTAGGGCTATCTTAGTTAACTAATACATATGTATGTGTGGAATGATATTCCCCATTGCTGCAGTTCAATTAAATAGTTTAATAATATATATATGTATATATAATATTTGTTTAAACTGTAATTTGATGCTTCACCTTTTCAGCTCATGTGAGTAATTTGGGAATATTGTGTAGCACTCAGAAAACCTCAAACAGCAGCATTCTCTTCCTTAGTTCTGACAATTATGTATTTGTGACACGTAGCACCCTGCTGCCTTTGAACAGGATATTCTAACAGAAAGGTTGGAATTTTCTTTTGCAGTCAAAAGCCACGGTCTAGAAATGGTGCAGGAGGTCTCTATCTTTGCATATATGGTGGCCTGGGTAATAGTACAATAAAAACTGCCTTTTAGTTAACTGTCGTTCAAATACAGAGTCCTTTCTGTCCTTGCTTTAAAAGCAGCAAGTTTAATTCTGCAGGTCTTCCTGACAAAGGGAGCTTTGTCTTAATACAGCCCATGTATCAAGACAAATAAGCCCATGTATACAGCTAGAGGATTATTCCTTATATTCTTACCAGAACCAGAGAATGGGCAACATAACTATGAACTTGCTCTTACAGTTAAAAAAAATAATATATGAAGACTCTGCTAGAGGAACCCATTAAAAATGGCACATATTATGTGCTACCTTGTTGTACAACGTCTTGTAAACTGTGAGGCTAGATGTCATATCATGCTTTCCTACTAGAATGCTGCTATGACCTTGCCCATTTTTTAACATGAACAGATTTATTTTATTTTATTTTATTTTATTTTATTTTATTTTATTTTATTTTATTTTAGCTAGGGTTTAATTTCAATTGGTTGAAATTTTCAGATATACACTGTTAATCTAATCTAAATATGTTATTTCCCTTATTAGGGACTGACTTTACTGATGTAGCAACCTTGTAGTAATAGAGCCATATCCACAATAAGAGGAAAGTAGGAGGTAGAGAGTTTGATCTGAGTCAAAAGTAACTCTCTAGTAAAACGAATAACACTTTCTGTGTATGGTTAAGGCCTCGCTAGGAAAACCCCTATGTATGTATGACAGCATCCAGTTGCTACACTGAGAATGAGATACATTTACTATTTGCTTTACAATATGAATGAAAAGGCTCCCATTTCTCTGTCTCATTTATATAGTAAAGACTGTTACTTGATAGTAAATATTGTATTTATGCAAGCAATCAATACAGCAAGTATTATTTCTTTTCACGTTAGTAATCCTGATTTGCAATAAACCGAACGTATATACAGGGCCACAAAGACATCTTGCTTTGCTAAACCAACTGCGAAGCAAAATGCTGCATGACAAAGACCATGGTAGCCAACTACTCAATGAGCTTTGACTAAAACTAGGTTACCACTAGGTGGCAGAAGTTCATTTAAATAGTCTAAAATGACAATTTTATGAGTAAAACAGCTGGAAAAAAATTGATCATAGTGCTAAAAATACATCCAAATAACCAGTTTGTGAAATAATAATATAATAATAATAATAATAACAACAACCAACACATTTTGCAAGTCTGAAAAAATATAACGGTGTAAATTTTATGCTTTACTGTCTGACATAAGAGAAGTAGCTGTATGTAAGTAACCAGGTGGAAGGGTGTTAGGTGTGTTAGGTAAGCTCTCTGTGTCGGGGTTAATGGATGGCTAATCTTGGAAATGTTAAAAGCTGGACTTTTTTTTGTTTGTTTTCTTTAGGGTCTGAATTCGTCAGTATGATGAAATTTGTGCTTAAAAAAAAAGTATGATCTAAAAAAATTTCTGAATTATTTTCCTAAATGATTGCTTTTTCTCTCTATGCTTCAGTTAGTACTCTGTGTGCATTCCCTAGGAAGCAGAATATAGGCGTTTTATTGCAGAAAGCAACCTGACAGAAGCACAGGTTTTATCATGTGAACAGACAGCAGTGAACAAAGCCAAAATATCCCTCTTGTCTAATACGTGATAGTAAGGTAATTTTTCCAGATAGCTTTAGAAAATGCCCAGATATTATATATATAATTGTGTAAGAGGACAGAGAATAAAAATGAGGCAAGAGTCCTATAATCATTTTGAGGGTGTGCAGCTACTGGTACCTTAATAAGATGAACTGAAGTTGTATAAAAAAGAGTAATTGTTTTTGTCAGGATTATCGAATATAGTATGTGTCAAACAGCTTTTCTGAACAGCAGTGTATCTCTAGGGCTTTTTGTGCCTGCTCTTTTGTTCCAGAGCAACCAGTAATAAATAAATAAATAAATAAAGTAAACAAATAAAATGAGAGACTCGTGGGTAGAACAGGGACACACATATTATTCTCAGCATGCAAGCCCATAATTAATTACATGCTTCACAACTGCACCAATTACTGGACAGTATCATTTTCTGGCCATGCAGCAACACTTCCATTAGTACTAGACTGTGTTCCCTTTGACACACTGACATCTACTTTCCCATTCTGCTTGGTCTTGCAAAATCTCACACTTTCCTAAACTTCAATGTATAACAAGATTTGTGCACACAAGTTCTGTAGGAATACATTTTGTGATTGCTATTAACAAATTGTTCCCTAAATGTGCTCAGAAATAATCTAGTAAGCAAGCCAATTTTCTAATTAGGAATGGTATTTACTGCTAGAAATATCACTTTGTTCTGCTATAAGTGTTTTCTGAAGTATTTATCATTTACACTTTATCTGCACACATGTTGAGAACAGTACTAATATTTTGGGATGTGAGAAATGACTTGAAAATAGCCCCCCTCACCCCTCCCCTCCCATTTTATAAAAACTTCTTTAAAGCTATTGCTTTAGTTAAGGCTACAATTATGCAGATGATTACTAAAAAAAGCAGAAGCTTACAAAATCTTCACGATCAGATTGTTAGTAGTCAAGACACACATTCAGTAACAGCAAGCCAACAGGAAAAAGGAAGAGTGAAATTAGTTAAGTGTAAGTCCTTTTAACTCAACCAAAAACCTAAAAAGACTGTATGAGGCACCTTTTTGCTGCCAGCCTTTGGAAAGGTGTACGATTTGAGTCTTGAGATAATTCCACCTCTTGCCCAACTCTAGAAACCACAATGTCAAAGAGGAACAGTAAAAGTGTCAGGAAAATTGCTGAAGGTATTTTACAAAACAGACGTAGTACAAAAGAACATAACCCAGCCTTTCTCTTGTGTGCCTGGTTAATTAAAAAAATAAAGCAAGAAATATAGTGTATGAAATCTTAACACTAAATTTTCTTTAGAATGTATTATTTTAAACCAAATTGGATCTGTACATGTATCTTAAAGCAGCATTTAATTCACAGACTGCCCGTTCCCTGGTTGTTTTATACCATGTTTCTTCTGCCTCTGTTATTGAGCTTAAACCCCTCCCAAACATATTAGGTTATATGAATCAGTTGTTAAGTTTAGCGTGTTGAAGAATGACTAATGTGTAAAGCAAAGTTGGAAGCACCCCTTGGTCTTACAACAAACATTATGGTTATTGAAGCAAAAAGCATGCAAATTGACATTAATTCCAGCAAAAATGAACCGGCCTTAAATTTTTCAAGTGCACTTACGTTCTTATAAAGATACCTTTTAAAAATTCAACTATGTTTTAAAAGCAATTAAATGTGACTAATAAGCATTTCTAGTGGCCACTGAGAGATCATATCTGCCTAATTAAAACTGCAGTACTTATTGAGCAAGCATTTTGCCTGTATCTCAGGTTGAAATAGTAATGTGATCCACATCCTTAGTCACTTAAAATTTTTTTTTTTCTGTTTAGCTCAAAAAATAGTATTTCTGATGACTGGATCGAAATTATATTTTTTCCAAGCTTATTTGATTATTTGATTTTACATAGAAAGGTATCTTTTGTTTTAAAATTTCAAATATAGCTATGCAGTCCTTATTCCTGATGGAAGAACAAACTTTCTCAATCCTTGACCCTCTTCATAGCTGTATGAGAATTCAGTAACTGCGTATTGAAATGGCTTATTGAATGTTATTTTCTTTTACCTCAAAAAATTCTCTTTCCAATTGTGAATAAAGGAAACCCAAGGCACTCCTTTATTTTACAATAAATAAATTCTGTAAGGGTGTAAGTGTTTGCATGTGGTGAATGCAGTACATGTCTACATATTATACTTTTACAATAAGAGTAACTCCCAGCACTTCACCTAGCAGCCATTTGCACTGTCTTTATGGTAATAGTCCTTAACTCAAATGTTTGTATTAGATAGTCAAATATATGCGGATAGTAATTTTAAAACCTAATCAAGGACAGCAACAGTGCTAGCTGGTAGTGAAAATTATTATTTTCACTGCACAAGGATTCAAACCATTGTGCAAAGACAGATGTTAACTGCATACACCAGGTATGAAAATATTTTGCTTTACTCGATAAAGAGAACCTTCATTTTGCTTCTGCCAGCAGTCTCAAAATGGGCAATTTAAACAGAGCAATATCTCTCCTCCAAGTGATGATACAGTCACTAGACAACTTGACCGTTAATGTTCAATGAGGCATTTTGAACATATTGTTCAATGAGACATATATGAAAACACCACGATTTCCACGTATGTTGTGTATATTTGTATTATAAAACAAATTCACAAAATTAAATGCTTAACAGCTCAGTATGAAAATCTGATGAAAACAATAAATATGACAAATGTTAAGCTTATTTGATACGTACTTCTAAAACAATCCCTTAAAAAAATACAGCAACAACATCCAAGTTGTATGATTCCTAGAGTATTATGTGGCTGTAGGGCTTCTTACATGACCTTACTGCTGTATCACCACTTACTCTTACCTTTGAAGGGGTTCCAGGAAGGGGACGAGTGTCAAAAACAACATTATCTGTAAAAGAATCAAATGTAGAAAGATACTGAACAAGGTTAGAAATGTACTACAGTAATAATAATTACAAAAAATAAATACGTAATTACAGAGGGGGGCAACTTTCTAGCTTTTAGATCATATTCCAGCTTTCTCCTGGCCCATCTTCTTGGCTTTTTGCTTTAATGTGGGGCAGTCACACTCTGCTACTTGCTGCTACAGAAACAAAGGTATGTGCACTGCCTTAATGGAAGTGTAAAAAGTAAGGACATATCTGTACACCATGTCCCTGGTTTCCAGTCAGAAAGACAAGAGGGGTCCTTAGAGACCCCTCTGGAGACCACTTCTGGAATAGCAAGAATCAGACAAGGATCAGGCAGGATCATCTTTGTCCTGGCAAGCAGTGAAAGAGATGACTAGGTTTCATCCGTGTAAACTCAGATGACATATGGGATTAAAAAAGAAAGAGGCCCAAGAGTGCTTTGGAGGTCAGGATACCCCTAGCCCTCCCAGAAATTAATTCCTGCAGGCACTGTGGCAGTTTAAAGAACCCCCTTTTCAGCATCAGGTGCAGCCAAATGTTTGTACTGCCTGTCTCCTGTGCTCCCCAATATGGGAAGTCGTCATCTACCAGCAGCTCACCTGTCCCGTTGCACCCAACCAAAAATGCCTGTACCAGAGCTGCTGGCATGCCAGTCTCCACTTGAAGTAAAGGTCACCGGAGGAGGAGTGCCAGGACAACCACGTGTTAGCACGTACGGGCCAAGTACAACAGACTGACATTTTCATCAGTAAAGTGCATTTTGGATCTGATGTTAATTTTAGAGCTGGGGGTGGTATCATCCCTTAAGGTACAGGATCTGACTCTATCCTGCATGACCTGGCAGATCTTAACTCATTTGAAAAGTTAGAATTTTTTTTTTTAAATCCAAATTTAAAATTGCATCTACAGAAATCTGCACCCACCCACCCTTAAAGTCAAAAAATGCACGCATTTTTATCATCTTTAACACAGCTATTTATACATTTCAAAATAATAGGAATAACTCACCACTTTCTAAGCCAAGTCGTGGACAGGGAATGGTAAGAACTCTTAATAATCCATCTGGTTTGTATGAATAATGCTCAACTAACTAACAGAATGAGAGAAAAAAAAAAAGAGAGAAAGAAGAGCAAGAGAAAAAAAAAAGTAAGAGAGGTATTATTAAATAGATTGTCTGCTTATAATCACATGCATATGTACACTATTTGGTATATGTTATAACAAATGAACTGGGCATACAGCAGAATTTTACTGCATGTACTCATGTCATCTTTACTTCTCTCTATCAGAGGTGTATGTTTCTGAAGCAACTTCCTGGCTGAATCTGGAACCTCACCCAAGAACTGGATTTGTGAAATACAACACTCCACATCTGACTCTGCTATGAACCAGCTTTGTAACTCTGAGCAAATAACTTCTTTTTACACCTCTGACTTCTACCTATTTGTTTTGGTTTTGGTTTGGTTTGTTTGTTTTTGAGTTTTTATTTTAAAGATGGTCAAAACTCTAGGGCAGGAGTTATCTTTCTACATGTATGTAATGCTTTCTTTGGGCTCCAGACTCAGAATGGGATGTAAACAATTAATAAATGTATAGTGCCAATAGTTGTGCACATTTGTGTTCCTGCATTATCCTGTCCATGCCTGTTGCCATTTTATCATAGGTACATGACTGCTATTTTGGCTTTGGTACATTTGGGTAGGAAGGTGGTGGTCTGCAAGTGAAAAATTTACAGAAATTCAAAAAATGTGCAAGTTTTGCAGGTTGCTTTAAATTTCCAGTTATTCAGGGAAAGAAATATGCAGGATATTTACAAGCAAGACTGAGTTAATAAATACAATTAAAGGCACATATCTTAGATTTATGACTGGCTTTATTTGTCTTAATAGTTTTAATCAAGAAGAAAATTCTTCATGGTTTTTACTTCACTTTACCCAGTCATTTCTCCAGTTTTATTCCTTTTTATTAACAGCCATGGCATAGTTAACTAGCCACTCATCATTTGCTTTAGTTTTACCACAGTTCAGACGTATTTTGGAAGTAACCATTAGCAAACTATGTTTATTCAGTCTACAAAGTTGGGAATTTCAATGCTGAAGAATGCAACGTGTGTGCAGCATCCCAAAACAACCTATGTGCTTCCCAGAATTCTGCTTATCATTATTATAAAGGACATAAACCAAAGACCTGGCATAGCTACTATTGAATACGGTAATTTACAAATGCAAATGGTCTTGCATTTTAGAGAATGTTCAGCTAATTGAATAATGATTACAGCAATTTTAAACCCAGTGAGGCTTCAACATCACATTTAAATATGATGAAAATCTCTACACTTACTTAGCTTTTTACACTAACATACCTTTTATCCATGTATGAAAGCCATAAAAAGCTGGAAACTTGACAAATAAACTGCCAAAACATGCTGCTGTTTAGCCAAAGACAGTTGACGCACAGCAAAGTAAAACAAACTGCCTAGCTGGGTTATATTGCAACATGATGACAGATATCCAAGCAATTCAACTTAACAGACCTGCCAGAGGGTGTCAAATCTTTTTCCATCTGGTATGGAGAGCTTTCCTGTCTTATCTCTGTCAATACGGTAATGCAGTACTTTTCCATCGTTGAGCAGACACAGGGCATAGGAACCATTGCTGTCCCTTTCTCGAATTCTGTAGGAATAAGAGAGATTTTCAGGGTCATTCTTTGCTAGCAATGAGTAACTAGGTTGAAGATGCTTTTTTAAATCACCTTTTCTCAACTTTTTAATTAAAAACAAAGAAAAATCTGTGCTGAAACTTCTGAAGACATTTTGCTAAGCCTTTCATTTATTTCTTAGTGTAATTTGTTTTCAGATAGAATTCCCTAAGTTTCTCTTTTCATCTCGAGTCAACATATGATGACAGAAAATCCACAATGTGGAGCTCTTTGCTAGGCAGCTACAGAACATTGTGCAGTGCACAAAGTGCTCTCTGAGCTAGGAAGCACTTCAAGGCTTGTGCACTGCAGCCCTACCAAAGCCCACAGAAGTCTGAGGACAGGATCCAACATGTATAAGCAGCTACACTTCTATGTCTTCCCCAGCTGACCTAAAATTAAAAACAACAGATAAATACCTCCATTAAAATACGATTTCTCTCATTTATCTTTAATTTTGAAACAGAGATGACAGTGAGGAGAGAAAACAAAATAGAACGTAATATGAAATACGCATAAAAGGAAAATTTTCTTTGTGCACTGAAGCAGTTTCTGGTTTGCCTGGGAAATGAAAATAACTTGTACATTTCTGTTATCATTAATTCTTTTAATTTCTGGAAAGACGTTAATGCTTTCTTGCAGATTTCATGTAAATTTCACATGAAATTTCACACAGTTAACCACTTCACAGTGGTTATAGATCTGCTCTTAATTTCACTAAGGAGAAATCATGGAAAGTAATATAAATAACTGTCTAACATTCGTGGGTATCCAGCATGATCTCCTGCTTCTAGAATATCTGGAAGCAACAACTGAGATACCTACACTGTGTTACATAGCTGTTTAAATCTTACTCTGGGCTAGCTCACATTGAGAACAATGTCTTCTAGTGACTGGACCAAGAATAGGTAGGAACTTGCTACCAGCTCCATCATAGTTGTCATAGGGTTTCTAAGTTTAGAAAGCAGGTTTTAGTTTGAGATGCCTGTGTTCAATTATTGCTGATAATGAGACAGAGGTGGAGTTAGCTGAAAATTTTCTGCAATATATATATTTTTCCTCTATGAAAAGCACAGATCAGGCAACACAGACATTTTATGTTCCAGTGTGCACAGAAAGGTACTCTCCATTGAGTTTGCCTCCTTTTCTCCCCACTGTACTGACAGCATATGATGCTGATGAACCAGGGCCTTAAGAGCCATTGCAAGCTAGGGAGCAACCCATCTGACCACTTCTTTCCTAGATCTGTGTGGAGAACTGAGCTGCTCAGTAAATGTTTAAAGTTCCCAAATCAAAGATGCCTGGATTTGAATGTCCCCCAAGAAAATGTTCAAAGTGATACCAGTTAATTCTGTTTTGTGTGAAAGGGATAAAATATGTACTCTGAGAGAAGGCAAGATGACCCAAGCCTTGGAGGTGTCTAAAGGATGATTAGCTGAGGAACTGCTAATCAGGAAGACCATTATGTTGCCATTGTTGATAGAAACATCCTTCTGTATGCCCTTGAGTACATCACCAATCAACATAATGTGGATAGTTGGCTGAAAAACAAAGATTAAGAGTATTCTAATGTGAACTACTTGTGAACTATCCGTGAACTATCCTTATTAACAAAAATCATGCCCCTAGCCTGGGAGACCCCAGCCCAACAAGGGACACTTCTCTGAGGATGCACAGAGTGATTCTGTTGTGTCAGCAGCATGAGAGCTCTGTAACCAACCTGAGGCTAGGGGCTCGTACAAACGTGTAAATATAGTGATAAGGGATTGTACAAAGAGTTGCACGGGAAGTCCTGAGGTGCACCAGCTTTGTGGGAAACCACCTGGTAACCAAACAGACTTGCACAATTCTGAGAAAAGCAATAACTCAACGTCGTGTATGAATTGGCTTATTGCACACCAGACAATGAATCCCAGCTGTTTATCAGACAACAGAACTGCCGCTCATAAAGACTTAAGAAGAGGGTTTTCAAAACTCCTTTTTTTTTTTTTTTTTTTGGCAAGAGGAAAGACTTCTGGGGCCAACTGTATCTGCCAAACAGTTCTCAGAGATTGCACATTGAAATGGACATTACCTGTGAGCATTTACACCAGCAGTTATCACCTAGAGAAAACAGCACTACTTCATACCAAATAATGTGGGTAACTACGACAAGGTTACAATATACTCAGTAATTTTTCAAAAACCCTGAAAAAATACCGCAGAACACCCTTGCTAAAGTGCTGGGAGGCATTGCAGATGCAATGTTACTACTTGCAGTCACATCTCCAGAGACTGCAGTGGCAAGCATTAAATTCTGCTCCTCATTAACTCACTCAACTCCGAACTACAACTGTGTTTTACTTCAACTACTCATGCAACTATTTTTCATGCAGAGTGCTTCTTGTTGCCGAAGATGTGAACAGGACACCGGCTAAAGGAAAAGGGAAGTAGAGATGTTTTTTTTTTCTAAAACCAAAGTAGCTTTCATACTGTCTCTAAAGTAACTTGAAACACATCGTGGTTTTTCATGACATGCAGGTATTTTCTCAGCATGCTGATTTCCTGTGCTGACTGACCAGTGGAGAGCAAAGAATGCTTTGTCTTCCTCTTCCTCTGACTTGCTCTTAGCAAGTTCATCTACAATGGAACCTAAAATTTGATCTCCTGATAAGGCTATTGTGGTGTGCTGCACAGTGAGAAAACACCTTATCAAGCAGGACTGAATCACAGGCATATATTTTGCTCACAGCAAAATACGGGATGCTGCTCCTCAACTCTACTTTGCTTCTAAAGCTTTGCTGTAAAACCGCACCTGCTATGGTTCTCGGTGCAGCTATTTTGGTCAGGATTCACATCTTTTCCTGACCTCTCTGACCCACTCTGCTGCTGGAACACATAGCACAGAGACAGCCTTGAGAAGCCATGGTCCTGCTGCTGTGGTCTGCAAGCGGCACCTACCTACGTACCTAACTGAAAATAAATCCAAAGACAGCTTCTGTGAGGGGGAATAAATCTCTCCAAAGTGGGTTCTGTGAAGGGGAATTAATTACTTCCAGAAGCATTGTTAACAGTCTAATAATAAATAGTAATGATAAATACTTTGTCATTTATCTTGTAAAATTGTCATGGCCATCTAAGCCTAGCAACTGCTTGACATCTTGAAGAGGAACGTCATCATTAATTAATGTCCCTGAATTAAGGTTATGTTTACTAGGATTATTTTCATTTTGTCTGATGTCAACAATGTCCAGGTCTATTTATGAATACAAACATAATAAGGGTAGTTGAATATTAAAGAATACTCCGTAAGGTTGGATAAATGGTGCACCTAACTAGGTATGCAGTCTTGTAGTGTCAAATGCCTAGAGGTGGACAGTAAGAGTAATGCAAATATAGGCAGTTACATGTATTTTTTGACAGCTACAGTTTTTTGGTCAGACAAAAGACAAGTAAACTCTTACAAACAACTGCACTTCAGATCTTATTATTTCAAAATGGCGTTACTGGTGTTAACTATTGTGACATACAAGAGGCAGCTTGGTCCCTAGAAGTCAAGAGATGCCATTATGAGTGGTGTTGTGAGCCAATTTATCAGTCTTGTACATTTTAATATATTTAATTGCATATTAAAGACATCTGATTTATTTACTTTTTTTTACTTAATTTTTCACATTTTATGTGAACTACATAAAAAGGTATATGGAGCCTAAACTGCTAATTGTGCAATGCCTTCAACCAGACTTTCCTTAAAGTTGACCTTTTAAGTTTAACAGTATTTCTGAATTATTGTTTATTTTCCTTCAGCTTCAGATTTCCTTCAGCTTCAGAATTTCTGTTTTTTAGCACGTATACAAGATCACACATTTATATAGCTGACGTGGTCACCACCAATGACAAAGTAAGATGTGCCAAGAGCTATCACGTACTTAATAGAATCGTTTCCTGTGTGAAACTGCGGAGAAAGTATTTTTAATACCGCTGGTCTGTCACCATTAGCAAATATTTAGTTTATTTTTCAACTGGTCCATGCATGCATGAGCTCACATAGATAATACTACTAACAACAATAACAACACATTATTAAATCACATTAAGTATGTGATGTTATTAATAATAATATTAACTATGATCATCTAGATAACACTGATTGCCATATTCTATAATTATGTTATCTACCAGGGAAAGTTCAATGAAAAACTAATTCTTTACAGAACTCTGGTAAGAAACAAAGTCCTATATGGCATGAAAAATAATAATGAAACAGATGGAGTCTTTAAACAATTTAAATCCTTTGTTTTCAGTTGCTCTTTGGATCATCTTACAGATGTCATATTTTCCTTCTTTTCTGCCGCTATAGTTTTTCCTCCAAATGTTGTGGCTAGAGTGGCAATCTTTTCCATGAATGTTTTTTCCAGAAGTGGATGCTGATTCCTATTTCTTGTCATGACATTGTTTCTACATTTGGCTTTGAAAACAAACTCTACAGCACCCACATACATTCTTATTTCCCTAGCTTTTCTGTCCTGACAAAACCTTAAAAGACCTTTGAAAACACCTTAGTGAAACATTGCTCCCACATAACTCTTCCAGCAGCTTGTATGAGGGACAGTATTAAATTTCTGACGCTATTCAGAATGTTTTGCAATGAAATCAGAAATCTTTTCAACTATTTCCATAGTTATTGTACACAAACATATGTAGCTCTGATAATCTTGTAGTGATGCAATAAACTGGTAAAGAAAGCTAAGCATTACATGTGGTCTCACAGAGACCCCTGTACTCAATTTTGTTTCAAGCTAGGTCAGACATCAGATTTCTAGTGTGATTACATTTTTAGTGACCCTTGAAAAAGAATATAAAGAAATATTGTAACCTGCTAAAATTTATTATCTTTCCTGTAATAAACAAGATTGTGTTTGTCATATACCAGCACTTAATTCAGATCTGCTTGTGCAGTTGATCAATACCTCTGGAGTTCATTTTTTCCAAAATC